TCTAGTAGGCATGGGCTTTTCTACAGGAAGACAGACCTTCAAGAAAGATTTATGTGCCCCCTCCATAAATTGAGCTGTACAAGATTTTTTATAGAAATCAACAAGCTTGTTCTCAAATTTACATGGAAATACAGAACATTTTTAAAGGAGATCAAAACTGGAGAATTTATACTAGTTGATTTGAAACTTAGTCTAGAGCTACAATAAGAGAGACAATGTAAAATTGACATAAAGATAAATATATATATCAGTGGAATAGGACAGATTCTAACAGTCAGCCTCCCCATTTATGGTGAACTGATTTCCATCAAAGGTGGGAAGGCAGTGCAGTGGAGGAAATGGAAAAAATGATGCTGACACAATGTTAATCTACATACTAAAAGGGAATTTAGCACTTTATACAGCATACAAAACTTTAGTTAAAATGGGGTATAGTCCAAAGTATGAAAGCTAAAACTATAAACTTCTAGAAGAAAACTTAGGTATAATCAATATAACTTTAATTTAGGCAAACATTTCTTATGTTATCCAAAATATACATAAAAGGAAAAAAATCAATAAATTGAACTTCATAAAAATTTTTATTCTCCCAAAGATTCTGAGAAAACCTAAGCAAATCACAGACTACAACAAAATATTTGTACATCATAAATCTGATAAAGGATTTGTGTCCATAATATAAATTGTTCTTTTATAACTCAGTAAAAAGACCACTCAATTTTAAATGACAAAAACATTTAAATAGACATTTAACTAAAGAATATATGTGAATGGAATATAAGTGCAGGAAAAGATTCTCAGCATTATTAGTCTTTAGGGAGTTGTAAGCTCAAATCAATATGATTTACATGATATACTCACTGGAATGGCTATAAGGAATATGACAGACCATACCACATCTTGATGAGACTGGAAATCGGAATTCCTCATAAATTGTCTGTGGAAATAAAAAATACAGGCACTTTGGAAATATTCTCACAGTCTTGAAACGTGAACATGTATGTGGGAGGCAGTTGCTGGCAGTGATCCCCACTAGCCGGTATTCACACTCTTGTGTAATCCCTTCCCATTGAGCATGGACAGAACCTAATAGTTTGCTTCTAACCAACAGAAGATGGCAAAGGTGATGAAGTGTTACCAAGAGTTGTAACTTGTACCTTCCTAGCACAGTCTCCCAGTTGACTTTTGGGCTTGCCTGTTTTAATGAAGCAAGCTGGTACGTGGGGAATGGCCCATGTGTGAGTGGCCTTTGACAAGAGCCAGAAAGAAAGTGAGGCTAACAGTCCACTTGCTTGCAAGGAATACCGTACTGTCTGGGGCCACTGAGTAATGTGGAAATGGGTCTTCTTTCACTACAAGTTTTAGCTGAGACCACAAGCAGGGCTAACATCTTCATTGCAACCTGGTGAGAGCCTGAAGCAGAGGTCCAGTTAAGCTGTCTAAATGGCAAAGGCTGAGCAATAATAATTATGTTTCAATTGGCTAAGTTTTGGGGCAATATGTTTTGAAGTAAGAGGTAACTAGTATGTTATATTTGTGCTCCAGTAATTCCATTCATAGGGTCTACTTGGAGGAAATGAAAAATATACAGCCGTAAGTGAGATGAGCATAGCATCATTAATCAGAATAGTCCAGAATTACAGACAGTAATCAGCTGGTATTTATCAGCGGGTGATTAGGTAAGCAGTGTGGTGTATCCATAAGTGCAACATGACTCAGACATAGAAAGGAAGGAACTACTGACACATGCAAGAATGCTAAGGCGAAGGGAGCTAGGCACAAAATATGCACACTGTATTGTTCCTCTTAAGACATTTGCGGAAAAGGTAACTATGGAGATGAAGGTGAACAGGGTGTTTGCTTATTGAGACAGTGAGGCAGGAAGATTACAAATTCAAGCATAAACTGGGCAAGTTAGTGACTTAGCAAGATCCTGTCTTAACAGAAGGACTGGGAATGTAGCTCAGTGCAAAGGCCTTGGAGTTAGTTCCATTGAGAGAGAGAGAGAGAGAGAGAGAGAGAGAGAGACAGAGACAGAGAGAGAGAGAGAGAGAGAGAGAGAGAGAAAGCTAATCATTTTTTTCCTGAGTCTGCCAGTAGGTGTTCCAACTGCATGAAAGGAATTTGGGGGAGGGAGCTGTTAATGTTCTAAAACTGATTTTTTGGTTACCCCCAAGCCCAGTATTTTGGACGTTTCCTAAAAATTTTAGAGTACCATTACTGTGGGTGAATGGTAGGAAGAATGATTTTAGTTCCCATCTGTTGCCCTGTTCAGAGTGCTCTGAAGAGAAATAAAAAGAAAGTTCTAATGTTGCTCAGTTTTTGACCTTTTGCACTGCCATGGAGTGGGCCTGTAATAGCCTGGGCTCTTGTGTATGATAAGGAAAGAATTGCGAAGTGTGCACCCAGTAGTAAATAGCAAGCAGCTACATTTATTGAAGGTCACAGGAGGTTGTGCTCAGGGCAAGTCTGTGCTCACAAAAGAGAGGGCACAACCAGAAAAGTGCCAGGGTGATGGAAGAGTGCTGCACACAGGCCAAAGCACACAAAAGTAGCAACGGCAGCAGAGCAACAAAAAGCATGGGATAATTCAGGCTTTCTGAATGTAAAGGCCAGGCACCTATGTGCTTCCCTCTGAATCTCTGGTTGTGCTTGACAGGAATGATTGACAGGGTGCTGAGTCATCTTAGGGGTTCTCAACACCCATGCTTGTCCCAGAATTCACTCTGATCTTAATTATATGTATGACACACAGTACATATTTATGAACCTGTAATGAGGTGAGAGTAGGGTAAAGGTGACCGGAGGATCAGGTTAGGAGATCCAACACCCATATGCTTTCACTTAGAGCATCAGAGCTCCCCTACATTTTTGTTATTTTATTTTCTACCCCTCTTAGGATAATGGGAAGCAGGACTAACAGTATGGTACTGTTTAGAATTAAATGGAAGGAAGGGAGCAACTCCCTCAGATCCATGGTTTCTAACTATACTCTTTGTGCCAGTTAACCATCTCTTTTTCTGGTACACAGCTGGGTACTGCATTTCCGTATCAGTTCTGTAAGTCCTTCCTGACCTCTGACCCTTCCTACCTGGGATTTTCTGTTGGCATGTGATTATTACAGAGATGTGACTGTTAGAGGCTGTGTAAACTTCATGGTGTTACAGATGCTTCTGTGGATTATTTCACTTTTCTAGGTTCATCTTTTCCATGACCTCACATATGGATGTGACCAGTTGATTCTAATGCTTAACAAGCCAGTTTTTCACATGCATACATGGGCAGCTGAGGTGTAATTAGTCACACTTGAAATCTGCAATAACAAAGGGAAAAGATTAGGGATTTTTTCCCCCATTACTTGCATTTGCAACTCTAGTATTTCATTTTCATAATGTGAACAACAAACAAGATTTATTTCCATTGCTTTTACTATCTTTTGGGACCACTGTGAAATGATTGGAAAACTGAATTGATAATGTTTCTCCTTGGTATCCTTTTCTGCTGGTAAGCCCTCAGGGGACCTTATGAATAAGTGTTATATAATATATGAGTTTCCTCACTTAATACTCAAAACTTTCCCAATTCAGTTAGACTATATTCCACATCTATTCTTTACCTATCTCGCTGTTTTTTCCTTTTAAAATTCCCTTCTTATGAGCACTTAGACTTTTTAAAAGACAATAAAGTAGCAATGGTGAGAGTTCTCCCCTTATACTATTTTGAACTTTTCCCCACAGACACTGTTTGAACACTCACCTGAGCAGTATATGTGTGTTTCCCAGTGAGGTGAGGGTGATTGAAACATCCCTGGGTATTTGAGCACAGTTGTGGGACACTGAGGGGGAACTACCTTTCCTGCCCCCATTCCAACACATGGTACTTGTATTACATCTCTGAGCTCCAGTTTTTTCATCCCAATAATAATCTGTCCATCTTGCAAGATTATTTCAAGGGTTAAGTAAGATAAAATTTAAGGAGGGTATTCCAATCATTTATGATAGTTTAAGATTTAATATAAAAATGGAAGCAGACTATAATAAAATACTACTCTGGAGAAGAATTATTTTTGAAATGTATTATATCTTGTTTGATTTGCCAAGATAGTTTTAGTATTGATAATCAGAGAGTTACTGTATAAAACAGACAGGACATAAATAAAGTTTACGAACAACATTGGGAGAAGACCATATTTTGCTTCGAGCAAACAAAATTGTATCTGGTTTCAGTTTTCCTCCTAATGCTGTAGGTTACATTTTCAGGCTCAGCATTCCAGACTCTATCTACTTATGATTATGTTGCATTTTCTAAGTTGTAGAGAATTTTGAAGGAACGATAATACAAAAAATTTTTTAAACGTTCTTGCAAGCTGTTTTGGGTTATTTACATTTCTGGAACCAGAATTGCATTACCTTTCTCCCTGATGAGCTCCATGTTTTGCTTTGTTTTTTAAAGACATTGCCTCATTATGGTAGAACAGTAGCTAGGTGGTGAGACCCCCAGAACTCCTTGCTTCAGTCACCCATGTAAAATGTATGTGACACAGTTTCTTCAGAGGGACCAGGGTAATGATTTTTCTGTTTGTTTTTCAAAAGTCACAATACTAATTTAATGACCTACCAAGTAAAACTGTTTATATTTATGACCGTGCTTGAGGAATCTCTCAGAGGCAAGCTTCTGAAACACAGAAGCAAAAAACAAGGCATTTGGGATATTAAAGTAATTGGAGGGCCGAGATATAGCTCAGCAGCACGGCACCTGCCTGGCAAGTATGAGGTCCTGAGTTCAATTCCCGGTTCAAAACAAACAAACAGACAAACAAACAAACACAAGCATGGAGCCTAAGTACTAGGAAAAGTAGAAAAAATTTCCCTTCTTATATTTTAGATTCTCATAACCAATACCAAATACTGAGGCAGAACAGTTGCTTTATAAATTCAGTGTTACTCTGAAACAATCACTTTTGATCAGCAAGCAAGCATAATTCTCTGTTCTATGTGCAGGCCCGGCCGGTGGATTACCCTAAGGACTACCTTTCTCATCAAGTTCCCATCTCGTTCCACAAACACTGGAACATCGATCCAGTGAAGGTGTATTTCACGTGGTTGGCTCCCAAGGAGGAAGACAAAGCCACACAGCACACACAAGAAGGTGTTAGGGAAGAGTTGTAAGGCATGGCGGCCCGTGGGCAGTTCAGGGACGGCGCTGTGGAACCTTGGCTTCGTCTCACCGTGCCGTCCGTGCTGTAGTGCTTGTGGGCTTCACATGACACCAGGCACTTCCTGACTTCAAGGGGAAATAATGTAAATGGCATTTTTTGATGTGGGAAGAAAAGGAGTCATAGGGTAAAATAATTTTTTTTCCTGGGAAAAATCCCTTGCTTTTGACTTACACAGTTATTGTAATACAGTGATGACTGTGCATTTTTCAAACTGAATGATACAGCAGCTTTATTACTGTCACAGGAAAATAAATGGTACCAGAAATCCCTTTCCTCTGCTCTCTCTTCATTATGCTGAATGTCATTTGACATAAACTAGAGATGCAACTGTTGTCCCTAGGTAAAGAAGAGCGAATGTCTCTTGTCATGGATTTTGGCAAGGCATGAACTTTTAAACCATATTATCGATGATGAAATTTGGTTTCTGGGAACTCTGTAGGAAGGATATTGTATTGAGAGCCATTTGTAAAACACCATAAAAGTCTCACTGAAATCCCCTGTAGTCTACATAGTCACGAGTGTCACATTTTATCTGTTCTTTTGTTGTTTGTGCCTCCTACAAAGAGAACAGGAGGTCGTCTCCTGGTGCTTCCTATTTGCTGAGAAGCTCTTTGGGTGCCATTTCTCCCTGAAGCCCCACTTTATGGCTGCTGGGCAAGGAAGGGTACTGGGTACTGCCAGGAAGCAGTGTTCTCAGTCTTGATAAACAATGTTGGTATGGTTGCTGGACTGAGCAAGCTCCATGCAAGTCTCAGGCAGTGAGTTGTATTTGAACATGGTGTTTTACTTTTGTCTCTCTTTCAATGTTACTAATGACTCTTCTGGCTCAGAACAGACACCCCCAACCCCAGTGATGAAACCCTTATAGAAGCACAGCGTGATGATCTTACAGTTCCTCTGGCTTTTTAAAGAATGACACTTGAACACAGCATCCTGCAACAGCCCTAATTTTCAGATCATGTCTTTAATATATAGTCCTTGAACACGTTCAGTATGAATGTATAAAAATGACTCTATACTTTAATGTTTTCATTTTATAATTCAGTTTTATAAAGGTATTTACATAAGATTTGATTTTAATAGGTTGTAAATTAATTTTAGTAGAGTAAAACATTTTCTTCTTTGCTTTTTTAAAAATAAGAACAGCTTTCTATTCATTAACTTTGCTTATAATGCTTTTTGTAGCCAAGCACAGGGTATTAAGCCATACCACCCAAAGTATGTTATGTAGTATGTTGTTTTTAACAGTCTGTTTTCCATGTAGCTGAGACCTGACTTGTACAAAGTGATGCAATAATACTTTTCCATGTTATCAAGTACCAGGATGAGTGTGTTTCGGTCCCGGCACCATACGTGACATTACAGTCTTATAACAGAATGCACTGGATTCAGTTTATGAAAATGGATTGTGAGACTCATCTGAGGAGGGGGCCAAGGGCAGTTAGCTAGATGAGAAACACCAGAACGATTTCTAAACCCCACGAACCTGCTGTGATGGTGTCAGCACCATTGTCATCATAGCTGGGATGCTTATTGTTGGTGCCGTTGTAATCATCTTCCCGTCCTCTGCTCCCAGAGGGCCCCGGCGCATACACCCGTAGAGGAGGCTTCAGTTCTTCCCAGGCCTGCTGCTGATGGTTCCCACCCAGAGACGTTTCATCTGATGGGACTGAACCCAGCGTGTCAAGCTTTCTTCTGCGTAATGATGAGTGCCTTCTATTACTGCAAGAGCTCATCTTCTGGTACCTCTTGGTGTTTTGTTAATTATGTGTACCTGTTGTTGGAACTATGTAATTCTAACCACAAATAAAACATCTTTTCCTAAGTTTCTGATTTCTCAAATGTTATACTTATGAGTCCAGACTGGCATGGGGGTGGTGGAAGGCATGGAGGAAAGGAAAGAGTGAAATCAGAGGAAAACATTTTGCCACTCAGTTAATACAGTTTTAAGAGGAAAAAAAATAATAAAAAGCTATACTTGTTTAGAGAAAATCAAGCAAAGTTGAATATAGGATGTCTGTAAAGTCACTATGCTTTTTATAACATCAGAGGTGCCATGTGAGAACGGATTCCCATACAGTTCATATCTAAAGAACTCAATTTTAAGTCTGAACTTTCCAGGTCAGAATACTGGCCTCTTCACATTTCCTTCACTTCTGAAACAGGGGTTTCCTTCCAAATGGCTATTTTAATCCTAGGGATAACATCAAGGATTTATCTGTAGAATAACTGAAACATCCTTTTTACTTTAAAGCCATTTCTGACGAGGTAGCCAAATCAAGTTGACGAGGTAGGATCTTTACATCTTGCAGCTAAATCAGAAATCCAGACCAAAAAATAACCTTTATAGAAGGCTTAGGAACATAAAATAATAGCATGCTAAGTAATGGGTGATACTGAGCACGGGCATGGGAATATCAGTGCTGTCTCATTTCTTGATTTATTGGAAACTTAGTGCTTCCACATCCGTATCTACTATCATTACTCATATATGTGTATTTCCTCAAATTTACAACACTGCAGGCATTTGTAAGAGTACTTCTTTTGTCTTCCATGTGTAATCAGAGATGTAATTTCTGTGGAATAAAATGAAATCAATCAATAGATTCAGCAAATGTTTAGCAAACACCTATGTGGTGGACATTCCAGGATGCCCTTTGTCCATCCCGTTCTCCACTCTGTCCCTGATATCTTTGAATGCTATTATTTCATGTTCCCAAGTAGTCTATAAGTATGTAATCTGCAAAATGTGCTCTCTTCCTAGCTACAGAATAGAGTGAAGACTTACTTTCTGTTGCCAGTTCAGCTTGTATTTTCGCTTTAAAGACACTGATGATTGAAGAGGGGGTGGAGGTAGGTACAAGAGAAGAGACATTAATGAACACAATGGTTTCTGGTAATGATCATCCTACAAAGACACTGAGCACAGAATATTATGATATTGAGAGTTGGCTGGCTTGGGGACTAGTAAGGAGGTAGGTAGAGTGCTGTCTAAGATAGTTCTGGAAGAGAGCCCAAGTGACTAAGGGAATCTGGAGGCAGGGTGTTCTAGACAAGGAGAACAGCAACGATGAAGGCTTCACCTTGGCAACAGGTTTGGCTGTCTGAGAAAAGAACGCCTGTGTGGTCATTGCTTAGCTGTCATCATTGTCATGAGGTACCCAGATGATGTCCTACAAGCAGTGGATGGGGGAGTAGGAGCTCAGTGAAGTCAAGGCTGGGATTTTGGAAGACATCAGCATTTTAAAGGTTTTGAAAACTATAAGACTAGACATGATGAGCTGGGGAGAAAGCACAGAGAATGCTGTTCCAGGGAGACAAATCAGTGAGGTGTGAGGGCCTCCAGAGGTGGGGTGTAAGGGAAAGTGCTCTGAGAAGCAAATCATCACAGAGAAGTGACTGTGATTCAGCAGCCTAGAACTGACAAGACCACCCCCAGGGACTGGAGCAGAATGGGGAGCAAAATCTCTATCTTAGCTGTAGTTAGTTCTGTTTACCTACTTAGTTATGTATTACTTTTAAATACAATGGGAGGCACAAGGAGGAACGTGGGCTTAGGGAGTTTGTGTTTTACGATGGAAGAGTCCATGAATACCTGTGTATCGTGATGAGACTGAGAAAGCAGAGGGAGGAGGCTTGCACTGTTAGTGACATGAGCTGAATCAACAGCATAATTCAGGGGTCTGCTTTTCTAAGAGAATCCTCTATGAAATGAGGGAGGAGTGTAGGCCCCTGATGTTGAAAGGTTGTTAGATTTTGCTGAAATGGACATGTGGGTTTTTGCAACTGATCATTGCTGTTAAGTGGGAGACAATGTTATCTGTTTTAAGTGTTTGATTCTTATGAATGCTTGCTTTTATGGAGAAGAGCAGCATGAATTATAATAAGGACTAGGACAACTGCTTATATTGTGCCTAGTAGGCAGTATTCTAAATACTTCTCACATTAATGTGTCTAATCTTCGTGATAACCCTTTGGAGTCAGTATTACTGTTTTTCCAAAATTACATTGCAGGAAAGCAAGACATGCAGTGGTTTGGTTACCAGCTCAAAAGTTATACATCCGGCAAATGGCCAAGCTGATTTTTTTTCTTTTTTTATTATTTCATTTTATTTTTACTTTTATTAGTATGTGTTTGCGGTACATAATGATTACATTCACTGTAGGGGGTCAGTACATGTACATAACACATTTCAATTCTTCCCCCCCTTCCCTCTACTGTGTCCCTTTGTATTTTTTCAGCATCAGATTCATTTTTATAAGATCTTGTAAAGTTAATTATCATATATATGGATTGAAAACAAGACTAGTTAGCCAAAGGACATGTAAAACACCTAAGACAGTGGTACTAAATCAAGGTACACTTTTAGATATATTGTCTGCTCTGGATTACTTTTAGTTTGCTCTGTTTTCTTGTTATCTGTTGTTTGTTTCATACTTTATATCTGGAGCTAGATGTATACTGAGTTTATCTTATAAGCAAAACCATGTGATATTTAAGCTTGTGTCTGAGTTGCCTAGACATTTTGGCTCCAGAGCTTATGCACTTAATCCCTCTGCCCTTTCACTGCTACCAAGAACAACATATAGTTGCCTTCTAGACTGAGTGAATATCTAGTGCTAAATGTCAGCATGTGTAAGATACCTAAGAATCCAAGAGTGAACCGTGCAGTAACTATATAGAGGTTACAAGAGAAAATATGATTATCTATCAAATAAATTCTAGAAGGCATATGTGTTGGGATATTAAAAAGCAAACTAGCTACATGAGATTTTTTAAACATTCGTATTACCACTTTTGAAAAGAATGTATCTGGTAAGACTGAACGTACTCATGCCCTTGGACGTGACATTTCTATTAAGCCATGTATCCTAGTGAATGCTTAGATCCTCACATTAAGAAGCAGGCAGAAGTGTTCACAGTGGCATCGCTGTTCGTCAGAGCTGAAAGCTGGAACCGACCTCTGTGTTTGTTGCTTGAAGAATAGACCAAACAATTGCAGCGTATCTTTCTATCTATGTTGTATATTCTATGTCTTTGCAGTGTAGTCATGAATAGAAATGACCTCCCACTAACTGAGATATATCAGTGTTAAGCAAGAGAGAGAGAGTACACAAGAGCAAGACTTGCAGTAGGATTTCAATTATGTAGTTTAAAATCATGAAAAATGAAAAATGAAACACAGAGATATACACATATCTTTTTAAAACATAAAGAAAAATTAACAAACTAAACAATTTTTATTAATACATGTTATCAGTATGTAATGTTGTATTCATACTTAGGGAGTAACTACATGTATTTAGTATATCTTAAGTATTTTATTCCCCTTCTCCTTCCCTCCTTCCACTCTCCCTCCATCTCTGTATCCCCTTTCTCTATTTTTTTTAGATCGTGTTTGCAGTACATAGTGAATGATTTGTCTTAATTCTTCTTACTTCCCCCTTCCCTCTCCCCTCCTCTACCCTTTCCATTTCCAATAGATCTACCAGGTTTCTTTTGTCTTTTATGATGCTCTTTATTTATACTCTTAAAGTGATACTTACCTTTAGGATAAAGGAAGGAGTGCAAACCTAGCCCTGAGCTAGACATAAGGGGAACCTGAATCAATATTAATGGTCATTCCTGTTCCTTAAGCAGGTTGTATGTACTCTTTAAAAGATACTGTGTGTATATACAAGTATTCTATATGTGTGTTTGTGTATATATTGTAAATATCCCTTAAGGTTTGTTCAGCATTTTACTGTCATTTATGTTAATAGTTTTAATTCCTTTGATAAAAAACTTACTGAGCATCTAATGGGTACTATGTGTATTTCCTGTGGCTGCCGTAATACTTTATCACAAACATTGAAGTTATCCTTCTGTTTTCTGTCTATAAATTTTGTCCTGTTTCTGTGTTTCTCATCCAAGCTAGCGGTGTTTCTGCTGATCTAACATTCTTAGAAACCTTGTCAGTCTCCGGTGTATATCAAGGGCACTCGTGCATTTGTTCAGGGTTGCTCTATAAATCTGATCATGTCATTCCTATTCCAGCATTCTGCTGAGCTGATGGAGGAACGATGTGCTGCACACATAATCTCTTTAAGGAACATTAATCTCTGTGTATGAGGAATATTCCAGCTGTTCGATCCTCTCAACGGACTACTCAATGATTGTCCAGAAATATCCCTGGATTTTTCTGCAGAGCATACATTCCCAATAGTCTCCTAATTTTATCATTTTAAACAACAATGTGGATTACTTGAGAATTTCCCAAATTATCAGTGCCAGGCTTGCTTTCACTTAACAATTAGTCTTTGAATTTGTTTCTTTCCTCTCAAATTTTAATACAAACTGGTTATCCCTTATCCACAAAGGGGACCGGAAATGTCTCAGATTTTAGAATTTTTCAGATTTTGGTACATTTGAGGAGAACTTACTGATTGGCATTCCAAAAGTTTTAGATTTCGGAATATTTTAAATTTCTGATGTTTGGATTAGAGATACTTGACCTCGATGAGCTGTGAGATGAAACCAGTGTGTATCTTTTGTACTTTGCTTGGAAATCACAGTAAGTATGCAAGTATGTAAGAATGGAAATATGCTCACAAGCACTTCCTATGAGACTGTAGGGTATAACTGAGCTAAACTTTCTCCTCCTGGGATCCCCTTTCCTTCAGTTTTCAAAAACACTTCCTTTAGTTCATTCCAAGCTCTTCCCTACAAGGTCCTTACAGTTCAAATTCCTGCCACCATTCTGTGTATGTAAAGTATGTACTCACCAGGATGATCAGGGATTTCTCCCACTGCCCCTTAATTCCTCCTGCACCCTCATCAGTGGC